GAATTCCCCAGCCAGCCATGCTGGCTGGGGAATTCTGGGAGTTGAAGTCCACTCATCTTAAAGTGGCCAAGTTTGGACAACACTGTGCTAGAGTAATTCAGGAAACTTGGCTTTTGGAGACAGTGCACACAGCTGACCACCAGCAGCAAAACATGTGCTTGCTACAGTTGGGGGGCTGACCAAAACCTCAAAAGAAATAAACAGTACAGGTGAGCCCGTTTCTGGATTGTGATTATACCGAATAGGAGATGACATGAGTGTCCTTGGCTTCTATTTTATGTTATTTATATTGTTCCTAATTTTGGCTGTTTTTTATTTGTTCCGTTTTCACTGTTAGCTGCCTGGAGTCACGCGTGTGAGATAGGCGGCTACATAAATTTATTAAATGCATAAGCAAATGCTGGTGGAAATCCCCCCCAAGAAGCGTACCTCCAGAGCGCCTCCTTGCACCTTCTTGATGCCAATCATTTTGACCTGCAGCAGCTCATCCAGCATCATGACCGCATCCACCACCATCTTGGCAAAGAAACCCTTTTGCTGGGAAATCAGCTTGGAACTCAAAGCGGTGCTGGCACATTTCTCCAGCAGGCCTCTCAGCTCACTACAGGGGAAGCAAGGAAAGGTAGACAGTTTGGACCTCTGCTGAAAGATTTTAGGGCACCTTGGGGCTAAAGCAGCTCTAATGCCAGGAGACGCATGCTAAAAGCTTACCAGTTTGGAAATCCAACTTCCTCCCCCAATACTTGGAAATGCTGTATTTTGAAACTGTCTAAGTCAGGGTTTCTCGACCTTGGGAACTTGAAGATGGGTGGACTTCAACTCGTGCTGGCTGGGGAATTCTGGGAGTTGAAGTCCACCCATCTTCAAGTTCCCAAGGTCGAGAAACCTTGGTCTGAGCAATCTCTCTGAAGTCTGCAAAGGAAACGGAGTATTTTTTTTTTACTATGGCACATTTCAAATCTGTTAGTAGCAGCAACAAGGGGAGAAGAGAGGGTAACAGGGAGGAATGTATGGATGTGTGCGCACACCCACAAGCGGGATCACAAAGGAGACTGAGGAACTTACTCTTGATCTGTCTTCTTGATCGTAACAGCAATCTTCTTGATCTTATTTACGGCCTGCCAAAGGAGACCAAGAGTCGGAATTAACACCCTGCCTTCTGTCCCTGTCGAGTCCACAGACTAGCCTTCCAGCCCAGAGGGAACCACTTCCTGCAGCACTTCCTCAACACTGCGATCCAAAGAGTCAACACCACCTGCCAACATTTCTAAGTTTGACTGTCAAGAACTTCTTTGTGTATACTTTATTCTTGGAGCCTGGGAAGAATCTGCTGGGGTCCCCAAAAGGGCTTGCGTGAAGGTAAGGCTGCTTGAATTTGGTCTAACCAAGATGAGGCTGAGGAGCTCCCACTCCGCCGGCAATGATCAGGTGAAGTGTGGAGGAATTCAAACTAAATCCAGTAAAAGACAGAAGGATTGTGGGCTGGTGATTCCCGGGGGTGGGGGGGAATTCTGTGTTCAACTTGCTATTTCAAGGAGACAAAACTCCTCCGGGTGGAAAGACATGCACCTGACTCTCCCTTCCAGCACCGCCACAGGAATTCCAAGTGGGCTCGGTAGCCAGGTGCGTTTTTGGTCACCCTCGGCTGGTTGATCACCTGCAAGGCTTCACAAATAGGGGCATGCGTGGGCACCAAGACCCATGCTCTGGTAAATTTCAAGCTAAATTGCAGCAACGTGCTATGAGAGGCTGCCTTTGAAAATGTTTTGGAAATTTCAGTTAGCGCTGAATCTGCTGCAAGAGTTCTGGTAAGTCTCTCCAGAGCAGTGTTTCTCAACCTTGGCCACTTTAAGATGGGTGGACTTCAACTCCCAGAATTCCCCAGCCAGCACAGGGTTTCT